ATGACACCCCCGACATCCCGTACTAAGGAACTGCTTATGCCAGCCTCAACCCTATGCTAGGTCATGAGTTATGGACTGAGTTTCTTATCCTTATGTTGTCTTTACTACAGTGTTCTATGGTGTTGATGGTAGAGAGATGGGGATCCTCCGTTCCCTCGTATATCCCTGGAGCCCGTTCCGGCCCCGTGGTAAGGTGCAGTATCTCCTGACACCCCCGACATCCGTACTAAGGACTGTTATGCCAGCCTCAACTCTAAGGTGCGTACTAGGAGGATAGCCCACCCTCAATCGTGAATCATGGACTACACGTATTGACCCTGGATAATCTATTAGCCCTGTGTTGTATGGTAATCTGAGAGCAGACAATCCTCCGTTCCCTCGTATGTCCCTGGAGCTCGTTCCGGCGCCGTGGTAAAGTGAGATACTGACACTCCTGACATCCCGCACTAAGGAACTGCTATGCCAGCCTCAATCCTTTGACCATGTACTAAGAGGATGACCAGCTCTAAGTTACAGTCTGGTATCGAACACAGGACCTTATGTGAATCGTGCAAATGACCTAACATATTGACCTACACTGTGAAATATTCTATAGCTGTGATCTGCTGGGCTCGAGTAAACCGCACTATGCAAGCCACCCAGCAGTCTCATGACAACCCCGAGACCAAGAACATCAGTATACCCACCATTGCCCAGTCCCCACATACAACAACCCCTTTGGTGGTGCGCAGGCAACGTCTGTAATAACTTACCTGCGTCATCCCAAGGGTGTGTGTGTCCAGCGTGCGTCATTCTAACACCCTGCTGGTGCCATGCGCAAGGCTGCTGAGTTTTGAACCCGCAACCTCGTACCACAATGTGCATTTCCAACTGGTGCTCTAACCACTGAGCTACATCAACTGGACTTGCTCCACTATTCTTGACATGCACAAAAGACAAAAATCATGGCGCTGTACTCCTCCTTTGCCCGCCACGTGACTGCTGGCTGCGACGGAGGGGGGGGGTCTTGTGTTCGAAGCCACCATCCCTCAGTTTTTGCCCCCCAATTTACTTTCATGTCCGCAGCCACTGAGAAGAGATGGACGACTTCTTCCACCACTCTCAGGCTCCTCTCGTTCGCCTTTATGAGGACTGCAAGATCATCCGCAAACAAGGAGGTTACAGGGATGAGATGGGGGGGGATTTATGGGATGTTAATTTTCTGAATGTGATGGTGGACCCTTATCATTGCGGCTAAGGCTTCCATGATTATGACAAAGAGCAAGGGTGCGTTTGGGTCCCCTTTTCTCACCGAGCGTTGGAGAGGGAATGGCGGTGAGAGATGTCCATTAAGTAGAATGTTTGTGTAGGCAGTCTTGTGCAAGATGCTGACCCACTGACAAAAAGTTTCTCCAAAGTTCATCTGTTTCACGCACATGTCCAGGAAATTCCAATCCACGTGATCGTAAGCCTTTTCAAAGTCAATGAACAGGATTGCGGCGTCCATATTTCTTTGTCGGGTGTACCTGATGGTTTCATTTACCAACAGGATGTTATCCTGGATATTCCTGTTTGGCATGAAGCCAGACTGGGTCTGATTGGTCTGGGTGGATGAGATTTCACATCATTGGGAGAAGCCTATTAGTCAGGGTCTTTGCCACCATTTTGTAGGGGAGGGGGAGAAGCGTGATTGGACGATAGTTTCGTGTGTCCGCTGTGTCCCCTTTTTTGTACAACAACATTGTCACTCCTTGTCCCATCAGTCCCCCAAAGGATCCCTGGTGGTGAACATCTCGTACATATTGCAAGATGTCTTCTTTAAGGATTTCCCAGAAGTACTTCTAAAATTCCTTGGGAAAGGAGTCCAAGCCGGACGTTTTCTCATCCTCCATGCTATCAAGGGTTGTTCACACCTCCTCATCTGTTAATGAGGTCTCCAGTTGGGCCTTCTGCACATTAGTAAGGCACGTAGTGATAGCTTGAGCCCATTCGAGCTTGGTCCATTACCTGGGGATCCCATTGGTCTCCTTGGGAGGTGAAGAGGTGCTAGTAATAGTCCAAGGCATAATCAACCATCTGGTAAGCGTTTCTAGCCACAGCCTTGTTGAGGAGGAATGGATGCCTCAGTTCAGCCACCGTATTTTGTCTCGACCTTGCTTTGGCTAAAAAATTGGCAAAAAAGGATTTGGCCATCGTCCCGTCCACCTGATCTTTTTGTATTTTGGCTTGAATTCTCCATGCATTAGCTTGATAGTCCATATGTTCCTGCAACAGTTCCCTTGCTGCCTGCAGTCTATTAAAGATGCACAAATCTAGGGGGGTTTGATGAAGTTGCTCATCCCAATCCTCCAGGTCAAGCAGCAATCGTTCCAGTATGGCTTTCTTGTCTCTGGCATGCTTGACTGCATACTTTTTGGTCCTGTCTCGGAGCTTTGTCACCCCGTCATTCGACCATTCCACTATTCCCTCGTATGCGGGTTTGACTGACTGCCAATATTCCCAGAATTCTTTGACCATAGTTTGGAATGATGTTAACGCCAGCAAGGATGTGTTGAACTTGAAGAAACCACGACCTCTTGCTATGTGGCCATGAAAGGAAAGGCCCACCGCCATCATCCTATGGTCAAAGGATTTATTTGGGCTGAAAAGGAGTACCTCTGCTGCAGTGAGCAGACCCATCAGATCTGTCGAGATTAGGGAGAGATCGATCCTCGAGTTTGATAGACCGGCTTCTCCTCTGGATCTTAAACACGTATACTTGTTTTGGGAGGGGTAGAGGGTGAGGAATGCGTCCTCCAGCTGGAGCTGAGCCATAAGATGAGACAGCGCCAGTGCATCTGGCCCCGGGGCCCCCATAGGGGTCACTGTTTCTTGGGATGATGATTTTCTATCCATAGTCGGATTCAAGTTGGTATTAAAATCCCCCATTATGATCACTGGGGCGTCTTGAGGGAGGATGTCTTGCGGGTTGAGGAGAAATTCCACTCTTTGGGGCAGCTCACAAGGTGCGTAAATTGAGATTATATACACGACCTCATCCGCTACCCTAGCTTTGAGATAGATCCACCTGCCTTGTTGCTTGTCCCATTCTACTTGAACTGGTTCAATCCTTGATGATGGGGGAAGCCAAATTGCCACCCCGGTGGAGGCAGAGGATCTAGCAGATGCGTAGTAGGCTATGTAGGGCCAAATCCATCTACCCTTGGTTGTGTAGTTCGGGGAGTCAATGAGGTGCATTTCTTGAACACACACAATGTCCGGCCATCGGCCTGTCATGGGATCTCGTATCATATTCCAAATAGCATCCTTCTTGGTCTGTGTGGTCGATCCCAAACCATTCACGTTTATTGAACGAATATCAATATCAGTCTGACTTAGTTTCTTTTCCCAGGCGGGAGGTCTTCGCATCGGAGAGGGAAGAAAGGGAGAGAAAGGTGGGGAAGGGGGTAGGGCGGGTGGTGGAGCATCCCACAGGGGAGAGGGAGGACTATACGAGGGGGGGGGGGGGGGGGGGGGGGGCGCAGGAGGCCATTCTGGGTAGGTGTAGGTTGTTGTCGGACTTGACTAATTTTGTCACAGTGGGTATACTTCACTCCCTCTAGTGTCTGAGTATCGGATCCAGTGGCCGCACAAAGGGGGCGTCATCCCACTGGTTATGGGCACCCATGAGATCTTCCTCCAATATTATTTGGAGAAATCTGAGTACATGTGTTGTTGTTCAGGTCCCATTTGTTTTGATTGTTGCAGAAGCCATGTCCATAGTTGGTCCTAAGACAGCCATTTAAGAGTCTGCTGCTGTTTGGACTGATTGTCATTATTAAAGAGCAGGATCAGTGGGGTGACACCCTTTGGAAACGGGAGACTTTGGGGAAACACTACTCCCATTACCCCCACATTTCGTTTTTCTTTGACCAGCAGCCTGATCTTGTTGAGGGCCACAAGTTGGGATGGGGTTCCTCTCCAACCCTCCAAGGTGCTTCCTTGCAGAGAGGGGAGTCCTTTTGTTGTGTCAATCTGGAAGTCTTCAAACCTTCCAACTTGGGTTCTCAACCCCAGCTGCCATTTCCCTTCAGATGTTAGTCTCCTCATCGGTATGATAATTGCTCCCACCGGGATTGGCCTGCGAAGGTCAATATCCTTTGTGGGAGTGAGCAGGTTGGCAAGCTTTCCCCTTGTAGCTGTCCTGCACTCCGGGGGTTCGAGTACGACCAGTCATTCTCCGTCTTCGTTGTTCGGTTCGTCACTGAGGTCAATCACTTGTACTTTTGGGACACATGGGACCAGGGAGTGTAATTGCCTGCAGCAAGGCTGACACTTCCGGCCTGCCGGCCTGCCTAGCCTGGATGACACTTGTTTCCGTGGATGGCAGGCTTCGCACATAGTCAGCCGGGGCTTGTTGCCTGCAGCCAATGGGGAAGTCTGCGAATATTTCTCCCGGGTCCGTTCCAGATTCCGAATCCGAGTCGGATTGCTGGTCTGATGAAGGGTCGGGGAGCTCCGCAAGTAAAGAGTGCAGATCAGGACCGAGATCAGGCTCAAGGCGGGAGTAAATGTGTTGTATTTTCCCCTCACCCGCTGTAGTATCTGCAGGGGATTGTTGTTGCTGCATGAGCATCTGGTCATAGCAATCTGGCGGGAGTGTTGTTTGTTGCAGTTCCTGAACCAGCACGGCTGGCCAGGCGATGCCTTCGAAGCAGAAGTCTTGCTCCATTCCGACCGGGTTATTATTGTCGGACCCATTTGGTGTCTGATCCTCAGCCTGTGCCTGTCTTGCCAATTATCTAAGTTGTTTATCACTTCCAACCGGATTAAATGACCGGAATATCCGGCCGCTTTATCCGGCATCTAGTTTATCTGGAATTCCGGATAAACCGGAAAATGCCCAAAAAAATGTGTGTGTTTTTTTTTGTTTTTTTTTTTGAACACTTACATAGGACTGCCATAGGTGCCAATATGGAAGTTTTTTGTGAAAAACTCGTTGAATATCCATTATAGTGTCCCCCCTCACATTTCGAAATCAA